CTTCACTGATCTAAAGAAATCACTCCAAAATTCAACAGGAATCAGAAGTGACCTAGAATAGCAAAGACAGTTCTAAGCAGCAAAGGTAAGTTTGGAGGCAACACAATCCCTGACTTGAAGTTATAATACAAAGCAACTGTAGTAAAATCAACATGATACTGAAGTAAAAACAGAGCAGAAAATCAATGGAATATATTTGAAGATAGAACCACAAATACAAACACACTCAACTACCTCATCTTTGATAAAGGAGCCAAACATGTTCACTGGAAGAACGGCAGTCTCTTTAATAAATGGTGTTGGATAAACTGCCTCTCCATATACCAAAAGCTAAAGCTAGACTAATTTCTATCATCATGTACTAAATTAAAATCTAAATGGATCAAAGATCTGAATATTAAAACAGAAACACTAAAATTATTGGAAGACAAATTGGTAAAAACTCTCAAGACATATGGGTAGGTAGAGAATTTATGAACCCGAATCAAACCACATGGGGAATACTTTGCAGAATCAATAACTGGGATCACATCTTATTAAAAACTTTCTGCATGTGAAAAGTATAGTGAATAGATTAGAACAGAATAGAAGATTAGAAAGCACATCTCAATCATAGTGAAAAGAAAACCTACAAACTGGGAAAAATCTAAGTGAAATGTCCCTCAGACAAAGGTCTTCCATCTAAAACATATAAGGAGTTTTAAAAAATCCAACACCCAAAATTCCAAGATCCAATCCAAAAATGGGCATCTGAGATGACTGAACAGTTCTCAGATGAATTAATACAAATGGCAAATAAATGCATGAAAAAATGTTCATCATTACTCCTTAGAGAAATGGAAATTAAAACCATATTGAGATTATATTTCACTCTTCAAAGAATGGCCACGATCTTGTAAAGTACCAACAACAAATGCTGAAGAGGTTGTGTGGAAAAAGGAACTCTCCTGCACTGTTGGTGGGAGTGTAGAATTGTGCAACCATTGTGGTAGTCAGTCTGGAGATTTTTCAAAAAGCTCAGATTGGAAGTCCCATTTGTTCCAGCTATTCCACTTCTAGGCATATTCCCAGAAGAACTGAGAGCATCATACCATAGTGATATAGGTGCACCCATGTTTATAGCAGCACAATTTGTAATAGCCAGATCTTGGGAACAACCTAAGTGTCCATCAACTGAGGAATGGATAAAAAGTTGTGGTATTTTTATACAATGGAGTACTACTCAGCTATAATGAATGATCAAATTGAGATACTTATAAATAAATGGAGGCAGCTTGACACCTTACTAATAAGTGAAATAAATAAAATTCACATGTATAAATACCGAATAGTTTCCATAGTGTAAGAAATAGTAAGAATACATAGAATTATGTGGTCACCATGATTCTTCATTAAATTGTTTTGAATCCTTATACTTTTTTCATTCATTGGAAAATTCATTGGAATGGTTTTATTTTGGGTTGTTTTATTTTATTGCCTGTGATGGTATGAAAAGCTATTTTTAAGAAAACAAGACATTATAATAGCTAGTGCTCATTTAATATCTTTAAGTCCTACTAAGCTTTTGTTATTCTGTCTCCATCAGTTTTATCATGTTGTATCTTATTGAATTTTATTATATATGATAGTATAAACAAAAATTTTTATGGACAAGGAGATAATATAGAAACCATTGCTCATTTTCTGTTAGTTGGTTCTGAATACCCTGTAATACTTTCATTTTCTTGAGTGGTCTTATACTGTCTTGTTATGTTTGATAGTATAATGTATGAAAATATACTCAAATATTTCAAGGAAAGAGACATTATGTTAGGTACTGTTTTGTTGGGTTGTCTTGTAGTAAAACCCTATGTTGCTTAAATTGTTCTGTTCTGACCTGATTTGTTATGTCCTCTTTTATCTTAATCTTTATTAAAATAAAAAAAGAAATGTGTATGGCACTCTCCCAAAGTGTAGCTATTGTCAAGCATAGTTTGTGTGAATATCACCCTTAATAATTCTGTGGCACAGAGTACACCTCATGCCATCAGCTATGTCCCTCATGCATGCATGCCTTCTGGGAGAATGTGGATGAAATTTCAGGAATTGAGATTGTGCTGTGCTATCAGTGCACTGTACATCAAAGACATCCCTTTGTCTCCAATCAAACAGTCTCTCTGGGTACCTGTTTTATGTATTACACAGTGGAAAATTGAAGTATGCCAGACTGTTGTTTTTTGAATGTAAACTTAATGTAGTTTCTAAGAACATAAAGGATTGGCATTTATTCATTTATCGTGTTAAACTCCATAATGGAAATGATAATTGCAAATTGTAAGGTGATGGAAAGAGCTTTGTTAATAAAAGTAAATGCCTTTAATGGAAGCCCAAAAATGAATGAAAGTGCCTGACTGTGGTGACACATGACTCTTATGCAAGGTGAAGATGAGACTAAAACATTACATTCACATTTTTGAGGTCATCATACAGGAAAATTGGTAAGGTTCTGTTTTAGAAAAACAAAATGGAGGCAACTGGGTAGGTAGGCTATTAGCTGAGTGCCTTCTGGTTCATACCCACTAATATGAAAGAAATGTGAGCAAGAAAATAAAAGAAAAAGAACTTAGAGTTCAGTGGAAAGTAGAAAATGTGATGATAAAGGCAGTGATAGTTCTCAGTATGACTAATTGCTCAGTGAAGGAAGGATTTTATCAGTGTGTCATATAGAAATCTTTTCCTCTTGTACATTGTATAGAGTTAGAGAACTTGAGTATAAACCATGTGCTCACCTGTCTGATTGGCAATCTCATCCTCTTGGCAAGGCAGGCAGTCAAAACAACAGGCAGATTTCCCCTCCTGAGGGGTTTTTCTAAATCCAGGTTTGCAACTCTTGCTGCAAACAGATTGTGGAATCTAAGGGAAAAAATTTTGGAAATTTTCGATGCTTCTTTCTTCAGAGAGATGAATCTAATTTGTATACAGATTTAATGACTATAATATAATTTAATGTCACTTTTGTTTAATGATATTAAATATGGAATTATTTATAAATATTAAATAAGTACATTTCTTTCCCATTTATGAGAAAACTGGTAAGGAAATTTTTTCAAATTAGAGTTTGATTTTTTCCAAACTCTCCATGTAACAAAATTGGATCTGAACATCATTTCCTCTTCATTTGCTTGGGAAGCTTTCTTCAATTATTTTTATAAATATCCTTTGTATTTCATTTGTGTTTGCACCTGCTTCTTCACTCACATTATTTATTCTCAAGTTACAGATCATCTTGTCATCTTCTAGCCTTTGTATTATTACTTCCTGGTTCCTTGTTATTTTTAAGAGGTATTTCCTTTCATGATTGCAAGTTGCAAGCCAGTTTTAAAGTTTTTATAATCTATCTTTTGCTTTCTTTCAAGCAGTTTTGCCAGCTTTCAATGGAGTTTTTATTTTCCTGGAAATCTATTCAAATCTGTTTCATATATTCTTAATTTTTAAATATTCTTCATTGTAGGTTTCCCTCCTTTTCTCATGTTCCTCTCTTCTTCTGTCTGTGTTTTCTTGAGAGGGGCTTAGCATTTCCTTTATTATTTTTCTATATCTTTGTTTACTAGTATTAGTATTTCCATTTTAAGTTCTTTCATAGTTTCACATAGTTATTTCTTTGTGTTGGTTACTGTTGCTTTACAGACTGCAGTTTTGTGACTCCTTATCTCTTCTGTCTTTAGCTTTCCTGTGCCAGTACTGTTTGGGTTGGAGGCCAGAGACTGCCTTTTATTTCCTCCTGTTGTCATGTTCCTGGTTTCTTCCATAAAAGTGAGTAGTGGTGTCCCTGGAACTTCTTGTATTGGGTATAATTACTCTGAAGTGTGCTGGCTAGGGATTGCTGCTTTCCCCAATCTGGTGGTGACTAGTGGAGTATTAGCAGAGTCAGGGCAGGCTGGCCCCTCACTCCCAAGCTGGTTAACCAGAGGGAGTCTTTGTCACTTTAGTGTGTACCACGTGATCAGGGCCGGTTATGGATAGCTTCAGGAATCCCTCAGTCTTGGCTATTAGATGATACACAGGGGCAGGACTCAGTCCAAGCAATTCTCACCAGTCTGCTCTGTGCTAGGAGTGGTTGAATGAAGCTGGGTGCAATTCTGGTTCTGGGCTTATCCTGCCAGACTCTAAAATGGTGCCCAGCCAATTGCCCACTCCTGTGGGAGGATTGTGTCCTGCAATTTCACCATGGCCTGTGAAATTCTCTGGTCTGATGCTCCCCTCCACAACCATGTCCTCCCACCAAGGTCCTCAGGCTTGCCATCCCCCAACTTCACTGTGATGGTACATGTTCAGATTCCAGTGGTGTTCAGTACACAGTGGGACCACCTCTAGTGAGAGCGTGTCTGACTACAGTCTTCTGTCCAGGTTTTTCTTTTCTTTTTAAATTTTATTTTAAAAAGAATAAAACAAAAGATAACATAAAAAAGCAAATCAGAACAGAAAAATGCAAGCAACACAGCATTTCCCAACAAGACAACCAGTCATCCACTTGTGGCTACCATAATGTCTCTTTTATTTAAAATAGTTGAGCATACCTTCACACACAATAATATCAAACATAACAAAATAGTACAAAACCATTCAAAAGGATGAAAATATTGTAGGACATTCAAAATGAAATAACAGAAAATGAACAATGGTTAGTATATCTCATTTTCCTTAAAAATTTTGTATATACTATTATACATATTAAAATCCAATAAGGCACAACAGGATGGAACCAGTGGAAGCAGAAGAACAAAAGTATGGTAGGACTTCAAAGCAAAGATGATATTAAATCAGCAATGGCTGCCATAATGTCTTGTTTTCTTCAAAGTAGCTGTTCATACCATCACATATAATAAAATCAAACAAAACAGAATAACACCATTCCAACCAATGAATGAAAACATTGTAAGACTTCAAAGCAATATAATGGGAAACAATGATTACCATAAAATCTTATGTACTCTTACCATTTCTTACAATAGGGAGACTATACAAAAACGTAGTGAGATGCCATAAAGTAGGTGGCAATGCCTAAACTGAATGCATGTTGTCAGGCACAAGGTCCTCTTCCATCCTTATCAAGGGGAGTACTAACCTTCTCTCCTTTCATACAACACTTCTATTTTTTTCTTTCTTTTTTCCACTTTAGTATCTTCCTGGGTCAAGAGGATCCATCTCCTTCCATCTGATCTTCTCCAGGATGCTGTATTTCAGCACCAAGCTGCTTCACTCAGGCAGGCTCTTTACTTTGATGCTTTTTGACCTGCCATCTTCCCAGTTTTTCCAATGATCCATTTCTATCCTTATGAACCTAAATTTCTCTAGTATTTAGGCTTTTATGAGGACATAAATGTGTGTAGGAATTTTTTTCTCACAATAAATCAGAGGAGCAAAGTTGGAAATTACTTCTATAGTTCCAGCCATGCAAAACTTTGAGGACAGGAACATACAGGCAACATTTACACTATGGAATTAAGCAGAATATTTTGGATAGAGAGATTGTCCTGTGTAGTATTTTAGTTGGTAAATATATATCATTTTACCTTTGTCAAATCCTAAGTAATGTTCAGCACAAAGAATGAACCTCAATGTGAATATAGGTTTACATAATATATACATATTAATATCAACATATAAATTGTGACATTAACAATAGGTGATTTGTTAAAGATAAGAGAAAATTTATTAATTTTTATACAACTAAAAGCTTAAAAACTATATGAACTTGAAGAAAAATATATTTTTCAGTTTGGGAGATGCTAAGCCCATGTCTTCATTAGTATTGAAAAAGTAGCCAATCCAAATAAAGATGGACTGTAAGTATAAAATCGTCAAAGTTTCCAAGATATTTAAACACAGAAAATACATTATGCCTCAATTAGAGTTTCATTAATAATTATGTAGTAGTGACCCTAGAATTGTACCATGAGTCAGCACCATTCACAGACTGTGGAGGACAAAAAAGAAGTTAAAAAAAAAGAAACAAACATTCCCTGGGAACCCATGCCATGTGTGGTTCGCCACCACTAGGGTTGCAGAGAGACCCCAGCATTTCACATGAGTCAGTGCCATTTACGGATTGTGGGCAAAAGTACAAGAAGTCACCAAGAAGCAAACCCTCTCTGAAAAGCAGTGCCATGCACAGGCTATCACTACTGGAGGGACAGCCAGAGCCCAGCCCCTTCTGTTACATGAGCAGGGAAATAAGAAGAGCCAAACTCCTGCCACATGTAAGCAACTGGCTGATGCAAAGAAACACAGGTGGCAATGATAGCTATTGAGGTAAAATACAATTTGATGCTTGTGGTGTATGGTATTTCACAGACTTTTCAGGTCTAGGGCTGGTGGCCTGTTCATCTTCTCAGAGGGTTGTGGTATGTACTACAGCGTTTAGGTGGGATCTCCTTCTGAAGGTGGTGGTTATTGTTAACTCCATATTATTTGGATTTGAAATCCTGTATCATTTTCATTGTTTTGTTTGGTTGGGTTATATTCTGTTTTGTTTCGTCTGATTTTGTTTTACCTGGTGGAAAGGGCAGCTTTTCAAAGATAGCAAGATATATTACTGTCACCATTTTGGATTTGCTATTTTCTTGTTTGGAAGTTTTTATTGCATTCATTGTTTTGTTTTTATTGATTCTGTTCATTTTGTTTGATTTCTATTAAGTATGAAGGTATTTACAGTTATTCTGAAGACAATGAGAGACATTAGGGTAACTACTGTTGATTTCAAATTGTTTTGTCACTGATCACTGGTTTGTTTTGATTGATCTTGTTTTGTTTTATTTTGCTTGATTTTATTTTCTTTAAAATAAAATGAAATTATATGGTATTATAATATATTTAATACTTCAGTTTTAGTAATAAAATTTAAGAAGCATCATACACCAATAATAACAAGAGCAAAAAATTTCTTCATTCTTATAGTTTAGTATCTATGTAAATTGTATAAGAATTTTGTATGAAGAAATGGAGGATATAAATGCTTTCAAGCCTGAAATGAGAAATCAAAACAGTTTTCAAATTATGGCTTTTCTTTTTCTCATTAAATCATGAAGCTATATCCTTTGATGATTATGAAGTTTTGAGACCACAAGGTTAGAAAGTTGATTAGCAAGGGAACAAATCCAAGCCCTCTCTGTGGGTTGGTGCCATGTGTAGGCCACTGGGGAGAGAATCAGGTGCCAGTCACTTCTGGCACATGGGATAGGGAATAGGAGGAGCTAAGGTCTCCCCTCCCAGTAGTGCCCAGCTGTTCTAGAGAAACATAGGCTGAGAAGATAGCTATTGAGGCAAAATACAACATAATGGTTGCAGTACTTAGTGCTTCACTGACTTTGGAGGCCTTAAGCTGGAAGTCTGTTCATGTATTCAGAGGATAATGATATGTAGAAAACTGAGCAAGGGTCAAAGTCAATGGAAAGAGGCAAAAGTTACAGTGATCTGTAGTTTATTTTTGTTAGATATAAGCATAATAATCATAGAAAGAAAAGATTAAGAATGTTGACATACAATGGGTCAGTGTTGAAATGAAGAAACAATACAGGGGAAATAGAAAGTCAAGGAGTTAAAGGAGTGAAATATTACATATGTGGTAGGAGAAATGCATATTAGAAGTGCCACAGCTTAAAAGATAACATTTTGGGCTCAGAGTGAGGGGAGTACCAAGATTAGGACAGAATCTTTGATGAACATGGCTGAATTGGAATGGAAATGAAAGTTACTAGAGATGGGAATAGGTGAGAGACCTAAGTCCTTGGTCCACAAATCCTCTGAGAAATATTTCAGAATGTTTTAAGAGATTTATTTTTGTTGTTGCAAGAAATGTACTGAGAATGTTCTTAGCATTTAGATTTCAGAATACAGAAATGATAACTTTTACTCAACTCAGAAGACCCTAGGACAACTGACAAGTCAGTAGTGTGCCCATTAAAAACATTGGAATAATGGTTCTGGAAATATAGCATCTTTTCCATTATAGACATGAAATTCAGATAATGCTGTATTTCTAGTAAATTTTTGTTGAACAGTAAAAGGATTGAGACATTAATATGTAAAATAATAGGATGAGGATAATCTATGATTAATTAAGGATTTAGGAGGGAGCAGAGAAGATGGTGGATAGATAACAGCAGCTACAGAGGCTCTCTGAGATAGCCAGCTTAGATCCAAAAATGGTGCAATGTGGGGAGTTCTAAGCAGGGGGAGATATACCCTGCCAACCCAGGAATGAATAAAGCTGAGAGAAAAGAATTGGGAATGCAATCCTGTGCTACGATTGGAACAGCTAAGGTCTCAGTGCCGCTGCTGGAACCCGCACTGCCACTGGGACTGGCAGCTTGAATTCCTTGCTGCTGCAGCATCTGAATCGGCACAGCAGGGATAGAGATGCAAACGCTCCAAGAGTGGGAATCGGTGGACCAAATTGAGATCAGAGATGGTGGGGAGCCCTGCATTGACCTGCGGTGAGTGAGAGGAATAAAGACCCTTTCATAGACTGTAGGAGGCTCCAACAGAGGATATTCTGGGACTGGGCAGACTGTCTGGAACAGGGTGCTGCAGTGACTTCAGTCAAATATTCCCCTCTCAAGCGGGATTGGTAGGGAGTGCTTGACCGGGTGATGCCATGGACTAAGGCCCAATAGGCTAGCCCAAACCAGGTCCCTGCACCTGTCAGTGCACCCTAATGCAGTGAAGCCTTAAGCAGGTTGACTGATCTGGAAGGGTGGACCCAGGATAGGCTGCCCTGGTCTGTGTCTCCCTAGTACACTACAGTGGGCAGGAACACTAGCTGGTGCAATTCAAATAAACTGTAACCAACAAAGAAAGAAACTGGGCCTCCTATATATGCTGTATGGAAGGAAAAAAAAAGTATGAGAAGAGGGAGCAAGAAGAAAGGGTCCTCAGTCCCCAGTCCTGAGAACACTGGTCCAGGAAAGGTAAATGCAAAGGAAAATGAGGAGAGAAAGCATGCAATATCAGGCATGGCACCAATAGACATAAAGTGGTATCTTCAGGACCTCATAGATGAGTTAAAAAATGAAGTATTTATCCAAGTAAAGCAAGATATAAGTAGAATAGTTAAAGAAATGCTAAGCACCTTCCAAGAAAAAACAGATGGTGGATTGGAAGAACAGAAAAAAGGGGGAAAATTGTTTGATGGAGAAAATAGAGCCAACGTAGAATACATGAAGCAGGTTCAAAGAGATTACCAGGAAACTAAAAACTCTATTGAAAGCTCGCATAACAGCTTGAAAGAAACTAAGGATAGATTATTTGAACTGGATGGCAGATTTTTAAGGTGGGAGCATTAAAGGAAAAACTTCTTAAAAGTAACAAGGACATAAGCAGTAACAATACAAAAGCTAGAAGATGACAAAATAATCCACAACTTAAGAATAAAACATGTGAGAGAAGAAGCAGGGGTAAAAACAAAGGAAATGCAAAGGCTATTCACAGAAATAATGAGGGAAAATTTCCCAAACATAGTAAAAGGGAAAGATGCTCAGATGTATGAGACATACAGAACTCTAGCCACCTACAATCAAAACAGAACTACACCCAGGCATATAATAATCAAGATTCCAGAAAACCAATATAAGAACAGAACATTAAAAGCTGTCAGAGACAAGAAACAGATCACAAGGGAACACTCATCAGAATTACGGCAGACTTCTTGGCACAAACCATTCAATCTTAAAGAGCATGGGGCAAAATATTCCAAGTCTTGAAAGACAATAACCTCCCACCAAGATTGATATATGCTGCACAATTTTCCCTAAATTAATGGAGAAACAGGTGCTTCCAAGATAAAGAGGAACTGGGGGAATTCACAACCACCAATCCAACTCTACAGAAAATACTGCAGGACATTCTAAAGAGAGAGAAATGTACCAGGATACTAAAAACAATGGCAGAGAGGCCACAATGCGTGAAGCAGAAAGCAAAATGAAAAAGATAAACAGACAACTAATGACAGAAAAAAAAGCATAACAGAAACGAGGCAAAGAAGGTTGGATATAATTTCTAATATAGATGGCCTAAATACACTAACTAAAGGGAAAAAAAGAGAGAATCGCAGGCAGAGTGAATCAAGAGGTAGGGTCCACCAAGAGAC